GTTTATTGTTATGTATTTTGTTTTGTATTATTGCCTTGTTATAGACTTCCCTTGACTGTATCGGTGTAAGTTCTACGGCCACCGGGTGAACACCCAATTGCAGTAAAATAATAATAATAATAATTCCTCTATGCGTCAGAGTCCATCTTGAGATGTTACTAGTCGCTCAACTAGTCAAGATATCTCCCGCCTCTTTTAAGATTTTCCAAAGTTCACGAGAGTCCGCCACTGGTAATCGGTCAGCTTCGCCGTACAGAACCGTTTTACATTTCATCACTTGTGCTGACAAGCAATGCTGAGTTACGACTATGTCGACTTTTCATTACGCTGAAATTTCTAACGAGATGGCACTGAGATTTTTCCAATTACCAAGTCCAAGTCACTTTCCGACTGACAATCAGTCAGTCAGTCAGTACCTGAGGCTCGTGACCACATACTTTTTACTCTTTGACAGTTACGGTCTTGTTATTATTGGGCTCCCCTCTGAAGAGGAAGGGTCTGTCTTTTGTATATGCTGCCGGCTCTTGTCAGCGCAGTCTTTCTTGGGACTCGCGACCATATTTTACTGTCTCAGATCTGAGACTTCTCTTTTCGTCGTCTCCTACGACTAGCAGGGACACGGTGGAAGTACTCTACCCCGCCTCCACACGGGGTTTACTCCACCTGTAGTCCTCTCGGTTTCCAATTAAGGCTCTCTTATTCCATGATATTGTAACGTGACGCCGGAAGAGTGAAGTCGGAGCAAACATCCATTTCCAGCCAACGGCTGGATGAACGCATTCCCTAGCACTACAATAATATGCGTCCACTGCTACACAACGGTTCTAGCTACTATGATTCACGCATGCAATATAACTTTAACTGTTTAAAGCCGATGTCCACGGCAACGAATTGTTGAAAGCACAGAAATGGAGGAAAGTGATAACAGTGTGACATACGCGGTCGGCTGAAGGGTTATATAAGGAGGCCGGGCGAGACCAAAGCAGGCAGTCGAAGGGAATTCAGAAGGCAGCTGAATAGCTCAAGCCTTGAGGACGTTATTTCATGTGTTATAGTTACAGCAACCTTGGGAATGCTANCTCAGAGTGTTACAATTATTTATATTTGCTACTTGTGAATATCCAACAAATCGATTCGCCAATCCAAACCCACTCCACAAGTCACTAATACACGTGACAATATTTGGTTGCGGAACTGGAATTTGACATGTTGCTCATATGTAACGTTAATTTAGTCATGTTGCGTGAAACACGTGTAAGAATATGTAAATTTAATTTAGATATACTTTAATTTTATAATTCTTAATGCCTCTGTTACCACTTCAAAGATTTTATAACGTCGAACGAAAACTGACAAGTTTTGAAAGAATGTATTTTTGAAACACGTGTGACAGAAATAGATTTACACTGGCGTTAAATTTTATCCTTTTATTTTTCATAACTATGGCACGACGAAGATCCAGATTTTGCTATGGGAAAAATATTTTCAATTGTACATTTTTAAATTTTATAGAATTAAAACATATATCCAAAGTCTTACATTGTGTTTAACATGAAACAGTTCAAGGATATCAGCCTCACTTAGTGGAGCAATCACAAGGCTGCTTATTTTACATGTTGTCTTTCAGTTTACTCATGCTTAAGACACTTGAAGAACTACCTTCGTTAAGCTGACCAATGGCAGACCTGTACCTACTAGCTGCGAAATTTACCTCACACTTTGTTTATGATTCGTTGAAAGCAAAATTACATCAGCATTTTCTAGATGAAATAAAGGGAAGGCTGTTCGCCTTTCAGAAGTATGAGCAGAATGCTATACACCTGTTCTGCTACTGGTCTTAATTCAGGGCAGGCAAGCGAGTGACGCAGCCTGATGGAAACCGTTGACACATGTCACAGAGCGAGAAGTTACAACGCAGGAGCAGACCTACGGAAGCAAACGCTCGAATTGAATTGCTCGGTGGTTATGACAGCGAAATAATTACTTTGGAAAAATAATCGCTTTTACTAAATAAAAATTAATATATTTAAATGGACAGCAAATGAGGTCCTTCTTTAATTGCACAGCGACGAATCATGTTGCATAGTACGACCAATAAAATATTTATTTATTTATCTATGACTCTACAGCCCTTTGTTGGACCTCGGCCGCTTTTTCGGTTTCTTGATCTTATATACAGTCGGTAGGACTCCTTCGAGGGGGATCAGCCCGTCGCAAGGCGGCTTCGTGCACACAGGATAGCACAAAACAGAATAAACACAAAGACATCCATGCCTCAAGTGGAATTCAAACCCACGATCCAAGTGTTTGAGAGGGCGAAGACCACGCAGCCGCTGTGATTGGCGCATATAACAAATATCCTTTAAATACACAGCTACATTCTTTCCGTTGTTCGGCTCATCTCTGACTTCTGCAAGGTCTGAGAACAGCAAGACTGTTGAAGGTTACGGCGAACTGGTTCGGATCTTTGCCGGACTTCGGCCGCGACATAGCTCAAGCTGTTAGTCGCTGGCTTCCCACCACGGCGGCTCGGGTTCGATCCCGGGTCTGGTCAAGTGGGATTGTGGTGGACAAAGTGGCGCTCGGGCAGGTGTTCTCCGAGTACTTCGGTTTCCCCTGCCAATCTTCATTCCACCAATTGCTCCACAATCACCCTCACCTATCATCTGGGGCTGGTACAATAGGCCGGAAGTGGCCGCAGTACAAGGGACTTAGTCCCACCCCACTAGCATTGCCGGACTTCGAGTAGTTCCGGCTGAGACTTCCCATGGTCATTGTCTGTCTTCTCAGGTGAATTCCAGCACGATGCAGACAAAGCAAAGCCAGGTTTCAAATTCTTGCATATTCGACATTCATGGTGTAAACTAATATGGGGTTTTAGCAGGCTAATTTAAGTGCATTGAAGAGTGTCAGAAAGTAATCCAAAAATGTGAATTTCGGATTCCAATTCCGGCGGAATAAGTTTTTTTTTTTAATATCAATGTTTCTTCTTCAAGGCTAAAGAACATAATCAAATAGATTAAAATCGGGGTTTTCTAAATTTATTTCCTCAGCCACGTACCTTAAATATCCTCGCATATCCAAAACGACGCAAAATAATGTCGCCTGCGGCTAGCGCCAAATGCGTCATTAAAACGTATAAAAAATTAAATTGTAATAATTTTGGATGTAATATTACTCCAATAAACATTTTAAAATAATTTTTGTATGGATACTTCTATTTTGTTTTCCGTTTTGTAAATTTACGATATGTAATACCGATTTTCTTCAATATTTAAATCAACTGAAACCAGCGAAACATCGGTCACATTTTAATAATAAATTTCAGCAAATTAAAATGTTGTCTACCCCTGAAGTATGAAGCAAAGAAAAAATCAGTGGATGCAAGATAGAACACTTCATATATTGAGAACATTTTTATATCTCCTACATTTCCAGTTACCACAGAGATCCATGAAAGGTAATATTTTGAATGGACAGTTACGAATTATGCAGAAATTGAACAGTTTCCTAAGAAACTGACAGAATTATGTTGTAAGCATTGTTACAACGTATGCTTTAAATTAAGATATTAGAAACTATTTCCAACGTTTTCGTAATGAAGTAGAAATGTCTTTCGGGCCGGGAAAGGGGTAGTACTTTTCGGGGCAATAAAACATGAATACGATACGAGACACATTAACATGTCTGTGTATTCTTCCTGTTTCCTTCCCTCTGCTTGTGGCATGGTCTTACATCATAAATCAACACAAAATATTCTGTACTGTGCACGTGATGCAGTGATGTGACGTGAAGCTACATTCCGGCCAACGTAACTCGCATTGAGGGTCTTAAAGCGGTGAGGCGATATGACACTGTCTGCTTACTGATGCTAAATAAGATCGAAGATTCTGCTAGTGTGAACACAACCTCTGACCTATGGTAGGGCAGAAACCAGTTTAAAGGTGTAGAATATGATTTTAGTGACTTTTAGGAAATTTAAATGTGATTATAATGACAAAAAAAACATATTCCGTGGCTAGAGTCCGCAAGCGAACTATACCGACCGAGCGACCGCCGCTTGTCGGCGAAATTAGTGCCAACTTTAGCGGATAGAGGGTGTCGTTTGGTCGGCGGAACGGATCCCCAAGGCCAATAATTTCGGTTTTCTAGACCGGAGCCGCTATTTCTTTGAAATAGCTCTTCAATTATCCTCATGAGGCTGAGTGGACCCTGTTTCAGACCCACTACTTCTCAGAAAATCTGGTAGCGGCATGAATCGAACCAGAAACTTCAGGATCTGTATCCAGGAACTCTGACCACTAGACCTCAGAGGCGGTCCCTTGTGATTATAATGACATTTAAAATAAACGTTTGTGTTCCATTAGAGACGGAAACAAGTGGACGAGTGATGTATCGACGTAACAGGATGCTGAAATATAATATTAAAACTGTATTAGTTCATAAGGAGTGTGGAGATCCAGAATGAACTGCGATGCCTCATTTCGGCGTAACATTAATGCATTTCAATAGATTTAAGAGGCAGATTTGCTCAGTTAAGAAGAGTGAGAGAGATAATGATACATGGGATTTTCATAATTAAAGTTTTTCAACCAATGTGTTCCATATAAGGCGCAGAAGAATTACTGCTGATCGTAACTATGGTAAATATATAGAAGTCGTAAGTTAAATTTTAATGTATCTTTGTAATGTAAGATTTGAGGCTTTCACGGCGGTGACTATGAAGAAAGCAGTCTTCTGGGATTTGGCACCGTGTATATGTGGTGTTAACTGNTAATGTTTGCCTATGCGATCGGGAAATGTATTACACATGAAAATAAGAACACTGAAGGCTAATTGACCTGCGGTCACTTCGAAATATTTGCCTCTGGGAATTCCTATTCAGGCGCCATTTGTTCTAACTTTTAATTTACTCGTAACATCATGGATAAAATTCCTTTCCAACGGACTGCTAACCAAGGCAGTAGGAATGTTTTGTAATTTTCCTTGTATTGTTTCAGGCAGACGAGTCCGTAACTTGGATACCAACGGGATCCCCACAACTATCGAAGAGTTTAACAACGGTATGTGGAACTTTGCAGTAATTTTGTGTGACTAGCTAGGAATTAGTCCAAATTTGTGGCTCTCGTTCATTCTCTTTACACGAGTGCAGAAGAAGCTGGAACTAGAGCTCTGAGAGCATTCCAAATTGGGTGGTGCCTGCTCTGTAGATTAGCTTGGTCAGTAACATGTACAGGAAAGCATGATGATACAAGCCACACAGCCAACGCAAGCGACCTCATTTTCTACAGTTTCAATTTATGCTCGCTGTAAACGGAGTGACACTGATTCGTGTGCCAATGCAACGCACAGCGTACGTAGCAATGTAACATTCAATTCGAATTAAATGTTCTCAGCATTATCTTTAGAACAAAAGTAGAATGATACTACAGTGGAACCCTTGAACTCCATTTTCGGTTTCGAATTATAAGCCAAGCAATTAATCAGTATGAAGCAGTTAGGAAGCGCAGTTCTGCTTGCTAACTCCCCAATGATTTCGGAGGAACATGTCGCCTCCATCTTAGGAGCCGAAGAAGTAGCCAAGCAAGATACCAGCATGTAGATCTCTGCTTGAGACGCCATGTCCCTCTGAAACGTTAGTTGACTTTCAACGGAGTACACGGCGCTATATCCCAGAAGACAGAACTCTTCATATTGCTGGTAGACATTTATCTCCGATTTGGTTTATTTCCTTTCGTTGTGTAGCTGAGAGGGAACTTAACTGACTTTAAACGAAACTTATGAACTGTATGAAATTTGCCTGACATGTTTCCGGGACAGATTCTGAACAATTCAGAACAAACTCTGCTACAAATGTGGGTATTCATAACCCTCTGGGAAATCAGTTCCCGGAAATTTCAATGCCTAATAAGAGTTCTCCTAAGTACCTAAGCTCGTAACGAAACGACAGACCAGTTAAGATTATTCACTATTTCCATGGCCGGATTTACAGTTATGGGGGCACTGTGGTAAGAAAAATGTTACGACCCCTATCAATAAGAACAAATTTTGGTCATGATAACTGTTTCTTTTTTCTCTTATTTCGTATAGTAACTAAAAGTACAAACAAATTTTGCGTGATTTTAGAGAAGCAAACGTCTGAGTAAAATCTGTAATATTATTTTTGTTCCTTGGAGGCTCCGGAGTGAGGTTTCGGTCGGTCGCCCTTAAATTCGACCCTCACTACACCACACATAAAAAAGGTAAATTTGTCCCCTCTGTTTAACTAATTAAGCACTACGTCATGAAGGCATATGGGGGAGTGGATGTATACATTCATAGTGTGACATGTTGCGCAAAGGAGAACCCGCCCCACCAGCAGTGACGCGGCGGGTGAGTCAGCGTTCCCCTCCCCCTCCTCCGCACGGTAACGTAGCGGTGACGTCACCGAGGGATAGCGCGGTTGCTAGGCAGCAGTCAACAACTCCGGACAGCGTGGCTAGCAACACGGACCAGACGACAATTGTCCGATCGAGGCTACATGAGGAGCAGCGAAGGCTATTCACAGCCAGTCCTGGAGCTACCTACGAGTCAGTCCTCGAGCTACCTCCGAGTTAGTTCCGAGTTAGCCAGCAACTAGTCAGTTGTATTCTGGCATTTGGAGTGTACTATTTGTGATACTGCAGACAGCAGTAATCGTGAATCTGTAATTTGGGTGATTGTAAGTGTGAATGTGAAATAAAATTCGCTATATAAAATAGGCGTGAAGTTATTTGTCGCGATATACGCCCAATACGCGACAATATATTCTTGATTTCGGCACTATGTGGAGGTGAACTTCACGCCCCGGCCACTTTATCCCTGGGGAAGAGCCTCCGGTAACCACTGGACAGGAGGCTGGATGGGCACAAGTGCCGGTCCGGACGACGTGGAGAAGAAAAAATTCTTGATCCTACAGGAATTTTAACTCCGACCCCTCGGTCGTCCAGCCCGTAGCCAGTCGCTATACCGACTGCGCTATCCCGGGCCCTCTGCACCATACATATGCACATTAACATTATACATTCAAAGAGATATGAACATATTTAGTAAAACAACTTTCATTACTGACACATTCACATGTAAGCAGAGGTCCGTACTAAATCAAGGAATTTTAGGATTCATGTGGTTTTTCTGCCCAATTTATAGCCTGTGTGATTTGTGCAGTTCCAACTAAATGGAGACATATTTCCTCAATGTTACAGATCATTTTTATTGTTATTGGTCGTTATATTACGAAGTTTGTAGTATCTAGACTATAGAGTTGAATGTTGGAATGACTGATGAATAATGAATTGGCAAATACCTGGAAGGAATCCGTCGTGCCTTAATCGAGACACGATCCCACAAGTGTGCTGGATGGACAGAGCAATAATAAGAGAAAGCTGAGTCAGGATGTTCGGTCTATTATGCTGTTCGGATGTGCGGTGGAAGTGTACAGACAGAGCAACCGCGACATAAAATGAAACGGTGTACCTCATAACATAGGACAGAACGGTAAGGCAATTCGTTCCGAAGTTTTCCGTTTAAGTTGAAAACCGTTTAAGTCTAAGAATTCTTGAACGCGATGTATTCTCTAATATTTACGCTAGTTACAGTGGACAGTTAAAGCTAAATGTATGTACAACGAAAATATTTAATGACACAGCATACTATAATGTACCATAATGTAGAAACCCCACACATACCCGGCATTAATGGACGTAGAAGTTGAAACACTTAAATTGTTTAAATTAAATGAAGCCATACTTGTGCATCTGTGCACCTAGGGATTGAAGCAACCCGAACCCGTAAGTCGGGGACTTACTGCTGTACACAGAATTACCAACTGCGTTATTAATAGTTTAGTATGGAGCTTAATTAAGAACAGAAAAATGAAATACAAATTAGTGAAAGTTTCCCACATCAAACAACAACACTTGTGGATGGGTTTGTGGAATACATTGAAAATTCCACTTACGGCCTTATACAAATTAGCATTATTATGGATCATTACGAATGTAATTCAGAACTGACCGACAACTTTTGTGGAAGTCTCGTACATTCATTTTCAACAAAATCCATGGACTGGTATACGGAATGTACAAACAAATCCATTTATGTGTTTCTGAAGACCAGCCTTATTAAGTATTAATATGGCTTAAAGTTGCAATTTCCCGACAAGTAAAATCTTGCATATACAATTTTAGGAAAACCTTTCTGGTGTTTAGGCGTATCTAATAGGCAAAATCAGGCTGACAGAGGACACACGAGACATATATAATATGCGTTCTTTTCTGATTTCTATAGAACGCCCAATAAAAATAGTTTAGTTGTGAACTAATAAAAGTTTGTTTTGTATTTCAATTCGCGGACGCTAAAGGTGTTTTAAAATAACCACTGCTTTGTCGTATCTTGAAAAATCTTATCGGAGAATTTCGCATCAACGAAATATGTGGTACTGTACTTCGGCGTCAAAGAGAAGCGTTGCTGAAGGCAGAAATTTCACTACCGATCATAAGGAACTATTCTGAAAAAAACATCACGCGAAGCGGAAGATTTTGTTCGATCTCCGGGTTTATTCATCCGAAAACGTATATCCCCACAGGATGCCTTCCAGCGCAGCTACACGCTTGTGTTTTTCATTAACACTGTAAAATCATTACCTCCATATTTACAGCAGCGATTCAAGAACTTTGTAAACCAAAGATTGAGGTAAATTTATAACTCCCAAACTCTTAGGAATTGGCAAAAATTTCTGCGTACGTTTCAACGTAATAAACAAAAATGCCTAGTGTGGAAGTCACGAATGCCATGTATATGTCTCCTAGTGGTAGGTAAATGTAAAGCTGTCCCTGTCCTTAACTAATTAAGCACTACGCCTTGAAGGCGCATGGGAGAGTGGATATATAGATCCACATTTTCTTGTTCTCGGCACTAGCTGGAGGTGAGTGGTCAGCATCACGCCCCTGCCACTTTACCCCGGTACCTATTGAATAGGAGGCTGGGTGGGCCCCATATCTGGACGATATGGCGAAGAGAAAATTCTGACCCTACTGGGACTCGAACTCCGAACTCTCGGTCGTCCAGCCCGTAGGTAGTCGTTATACCGACTGCGCTATCCCGCTGTTTGTCTCCTAGTAGGAGTTATAAAACTAGTGGACACGTAATTTTAAAATTCAGCGTTGAAGACTTTCACTAAATACAGTCTGGAAATTCCAGTTTCAGACTTATTGATCCAAACAAAGCATACTATTAAGAAAGCAGTCTTCTGGGATTTGGCGCCGTGTATATGTGGTGTTAACCGAGGTTTCGGAGGAACGTATCNTCTTCATAGTCACCGCCGTGAAAGCCCCAAATCTTATAAAGCATACTATTACTTAAGGTCATTAATGAACACCCTCATACGAGTATATATGATAAACGGTTAATCATATTTTTGTGACATTCGATATAAGAGATTTGTACTTAGTGCTAGTCAACTATTTTCATTCCTAGTCATACTGAACGGTTACGAAGCTTAATTTATGGCAGACTATAAATGAACTTCTTACGTATATCACAAACCACTAACACCATGCCGGTGTAGTTGGACACGAGACCCTTTTGTGTACCGCCATTCGGCCATTTAGATATCCATTCAGATTATAAAATAAATGGCCATTGGGTCATAAATGGAATTGTACTTATACGTCAAAACCTATTTCACACATTTTCCGGCAATTCGTTATTATGCATTCTTATGCCGTTGAAATATGAATGCTCTTTTCTATCTTACACGTTTTGTTATTCTCTATATTACCTTCAAAAACAGGCCGCAAGTTCATTTATTCACTCATCAATGGCCCTTCAGCCCTTTCTTGGGCCCTGGCCGCTTCTTCAGTTTCGTAATCTTTTTCACACAGACGGTAGAGTTCCCGGACGAGTAATCAGCCAGTTGCTAGGCCGCTACCTACACACAGGACAACACAAACACAGAATAAAAGCACACACAGACATCCACGCCTTGAGTGCGATTCGATCCCACGACTCCACTGTTTAAGTGGACAAAGACATTTCATACTTT